GGGTGAGGGGAGGTGGGAGAGTCCCGGCGGCAGCTCCGCCGGCGACGGCGTCCCGTCCTCGCCTGGCTCACGTCGGCTGTGCCCGTGTTCCCGGTTGGGCGTCTGGAAGTGAGAGCGAAGGACCGCCGACGCTGTGCCGCTGAAAAGGAGCACGCTTCCTTTGCAGAGAAGGATCGGGGGTTTTGTTCACTGGTAATTTATTTTTTTTTCCCTCGCTCCTGCTATGTATGACTGTGGCTTGAGCGAGCCACTGGACGTGTTTCCCGGTCTCCCCGTCCCAAAGCCGCAGGAGAAGGCGGGAATGGCGAAGGGAAGCGGCGTGGCCCCTGCACACACCCGCCTGGAGCGCGGTCAGATCCACCGCCCAGGGCCCGCTCCCCAGTGTCTTGTCTCGTCCACACGGCCTCGGCACGGCCGTTCTTTTCCTAACTTCTGCTGGGACGGTTTCTCTGAAATGTACAGGAAAAAAGCCACGAAACCCCAAAACGTAACGAAAAAAACCCAAACCTTTGAGGTGGATAATGCAACATGAAAATTAAATTATTTGCTATAATCCGCTTTTCTCAGTATTGTTTTGCCTCTTTCAAAGTGAGTGAACTGCCCTGGAAACGTGCTGATTCTGTGTGACAGGGATCTGTCCACAGCCCTGAAGTTTGCTCTTAGGGAGCAAGTAAGACCAAAAGCACACTTCTCCCACGGGGGCCCAGGAAGTGTTTGTGGTAAATCTGGTGACTTCTCTTCCCTAGCTTAGATTACAAGCAAGAGCTCACAGGATGTCAGAACTTTCCCTGGGTCTATTAGGTCTGATATCTTGTGTCCAGAACTGAGTCATAACAGACATTTTACAGGACGATGCAACGAAATTTGGAAGTAAGTACAGATTTTTCCTTCCCGGGAGAGTACACCATCGCAGGCATTAGGAGTGAAGAAAGGTTACAGAAGCTGTTGAAAATATTAAGGCTGCTAATTGTTATGTTGGAAAAATCAGTTGTGTGTAGTAAGGAAGTTGTTATTCAGTCTCAGTGGAATGGATTGGAAACTGCAATTTCCTTCCACACAGAGACCAGATCAAGGCTGCATTTTCTGTGCTCTTTGCTGTGGCTCTGGTAACTTAGTGATCCCTATAAGGCATCAGCAGCAAAAGGAGAAAAGCCCATTCTATCTGTGAGAGTGAAGTTCAAATTTCCCATTGTAAATTACCTGACATTCTTTTCTAAAAAAAAACAACCCTAAAATTCAATGTAAAACCCTACTTAATACCTTTGTAAAAACTACATCACATGTTCAGCCTAACAGTCAGGATTCTGTCAGTGTTGTTAACCCTGTTGAATATCTGTGATAATTTTTTTTATACCATATAAAATTTTTGTATATTAGATTACTTTCGTAGTTAAATGGACTCATTGAAAATAGGTGTTGAAAATGTATATAGAGGATCCTGAATTCACCTGTGTTCAGAGGTGGTTTTACTTGATCCAATCCACAACTACCAAAGGCAGCTTGCGATACAGTTAGCCACAGCAGCTCCTTGGTTTCGTGCCAGGCCGCATGTACATTCAGAAAACACTATTGGCTCTACCTTCTTCCTCGTCTACCTTCTGCTGTGCTTCTTCCTCCCTCAAGGTTAAAACCCAGCTCTTCTGCTACTTCATAAGAACTAATTTCCACCCCACACAAGAAATCCCTGCCTGCATCTAAGAAACTGATGTTTGTGCCATGCCCAGCAGTGCACTTTTCTCTCCCTGCTCAGTCTGATTGCAACCAGTCAGACTGAAAATG